TTGTAACTGACAACAATTAAAGTTTCGGATTTGTTACAGGTGGTAGGTGATAGCGCCTTATTGTTATAAATAATGGTTTTTGTTTCATGTTGTATATTATTAAATTTAACTGGTATGACATTACACAGCTGTGTTGCAGTATGTGATTTACTCATGTTGACTATTTCTATATCCATTGGTGTTAAACCATGTAAGAATTTATGGAATGCTGAATAAATGATAATGATGAATGATGATAATGTCAGAGACCAAGTTTCACACCCATACAGAACCACAGGCAAAATTATAGTTCTGTATATTCTAATTTTTATGATTTTAGACAGCAGATGAGAAGACAAAAGGCTCTGGGCTGAATGGTAGCAAGCATTACCCAGATTCAGTCTCCTCTTAATTTTCACCTGAATCAAGTTTTGGTTTGTTACTGTTGTTTCAAAATATTTGAACTGTGCCACATTTTCAAAACATCTGTTAGCTATCTTTATCTCATGACATTTCCCCACATTCTGGTGACAAACACTAGTATATACTTAACTTTTGCTGTTTACTTCTAGACCAACCTCCTACTAGCATCAATTAAAGTTCCTGTTTTTCTTTATGGTATCTATGTTATCACCCAGTAGATTCACATCATCAGCATAGACCAGCAACTGATGTGTCCCATTTAATTTCAGTCCCACCTGTTTTCCTCAACCTTCCTAATGGCATATTCTAAAGCAAAGTTGAAAAGCAGTGGTGATAAAGCATGCCCTTCTTTTAGACCATTCTGGATAGGAAAATTATCAGACAAATGTTTACCTACATGGACCTCACTATATGTTTCATTTAACCTTTAAATGCTGGACTTTTGAAATGGTGGTAAGCTTGAGCTGGCCGGAGTTTATTTAAAAGCCCACTGCTGGTGCGCATTTAAATACCCATTGCTGCTAGGGCGCTTAAACAATTAAGTGCTATATCTAACACAATTTTTATTATAAATGGATGGAATTAACTTTGTATCAGCAAAGAACATAGTGTTCCGTATTATAACAGAAGATTTGAAAATTTTTATACAAAGTGTTATACTCTATTTTCAATTTTTTCTCTTAATTTTGATGTGTACTGTAAAAATGGTTTCCCTGTTTTCAGAGTTGTTCTGCATTATAAATTCATTCCTGCTTGTGACTCTTGACACATTTTAGCAGTCACTGGTGCAATAAAACAGATGGAAGCAATAAAATCCTTTGGTTCTCTGCTGGCAAATTTTACATCTTTGTTACACTCTTCAGATTTTCGAATCTTTTGACTAAAAGGACAGAAAAATGAAAGCATGGCTATTCAAGAAAAAGCTAGAGGGAACAATTCGACGGTCCCTTCTTCAGTGCTGAGACCTTCTGCTATAGCTGCAAGAGATTATTGCTCTTTCTATGGTCGTGAACAGACAGTTGCATCATGGCTGAGATACAGAGTGTGATCTGTTTTATGTGCGTTCATAGTGAAATCAAATACTATAGTGTAATTTCAACCTATATATACATCAAGCAGATAACAACAAAAAAGGTATGTACATCGAATTTTACTATATATTTTTAACACATTAATCTGCAGAATCTGCAATAAAAGTACTGGCTTGTGGATGAGTTTGGGCATAACTCATACATATACTCTGTTTTTGTTGTTCACTTAGGTATAATTTTAATTCCTATATTAGGGTTTTACTCAAGTCTGCCTGGTAATTACTACATTTAAAAATAAATATTTAGGACTGTGCATGCCCTTCTACTAGTGGTCTGTGCATGCGCTTCCACTAGCAGAGTTTAAATGCCCGACTTGCCAAATTGGGGTACTTTGGCCATGATGACCACCAAATTGAAGAGAGAGAGAGGACATGAGCCTGATCATCACTGGCCAGATCAAGGAACTTCAGATGTTAAAGGTTAAACACATTTAAACAGCCTAACTAGTTTCATGGGTACCCCAAACTCTATGAGAATATTGTAAAATACTTCCCTCCTAACTGAATCATGGGCTTTCTTGAAGTCTGAATAGCTGATGTACTGTCTCATTGTACTCCCATTTCTTCTCCATATCTGATGAACACAAAAGATCTGATCAGTAGTTGATCTGATATGTCAGAACCCACACTGATGATCCCCAATAATTTGATCAGTGTATGGACCTAATCTTAAAGAGAATAATATTGGATAAAACGTATGAAGTTGATGGCAGCGATAGCCCACGATAATTACTAAGGTCAGTTTTATCACACTTCTTGTGAATTGGTGCAATAATAGACTCCTTCAACAGGCAATTCTTCCCTTTTCCAAATAGAATTAATGAGCATATGGATCTCACACCATAATTTTTCTCCTCCTGTTTGAATCATTTCTGCCAGAATTTTATCACTACCTGGTGATTTATACCCCTTCAACTTTGAAATAGCACTTTCAAACTGAACAGGACTAGAATCGGGTATTAGCGGCTCAGTTGTATACATTTCTAGCTGCCTAATAATGCAGACCCTTTATACATTCATAGATGAGAATAATAGTTCTTCCGTTTATTCAAGATGTGGGAATCTGCAAGCAGATAACTATTCTCATTCTTCACTAAGCTACTTCTAAGTTGGCAACCCCTTTCAAACTAATTTGTTCCTCTGTACAGTTCTATAATGTTCTTGTTCTTATTATTCATTGCAAGCTCATTAATTGTCTTTCAGATATTCCCTTTTTTTTTCTCCTGAAATGCCTGCTGGCTTGACATCTTATATCTTTCACAGTATCCCCATTTATTTCACTTGGAGCCTGTAACCACTGCAATTTGGCTTGTTTCTTTTTACATCTTTCGCTAAGCCATTACTTATAGTGCTTCAATTTTAATAACCTGGACTCTCTTTGGCTGAAATTTTTGTACATCCTCTAATAGTTTCCAAAGCTCTATTAATGTTCACCCCCAGTGCCTAAGTTTTCCAAAGCTGCAAACTTGATTGAGATTAAGAGTTAGAAGGGAAACTATTACAATTATTTGGCCATATAAAGAAGTGGGTAGAACAAGGATACTGAGTTGCATTTGAATAGAAATTGAGGCCTGTGGGATGACCCAGAAGATGGTTCAGCCAGATACTGGAAGGCATCAAGTAGAAATGAAAATGCTGTCACAAAGGAAAAAATTATGGGTAGGTAGAAGAGATTGAAAACCCATCACCAAGCTGCATAAAACTGAAACAACACAGAAAAAGGGGGGACATTTTTACAGTATTTAAGAGAGATTTTCTATTGGCTGGTGGTGTCCCCCCCTCCCCAGTCATTACTGCTATTGTTTATTCATGTATTCAAAAACCACTATCTAGTACAATATCTCAGTCATTTAGTGATTAAATTGGCAAAACTCTTAACAACCTAAAGAAAACTTTTGTATGAATATCATTTCAGTATAACTACCAAAATTATTAATATTGTCACATGTTAGTGACAGGTTTTGGATTGGTAATTGGATTTATTGAAGCTTGTAACTACAAATAACTATAAAAGTCTCACTGATTTACTCAAAATCACAACTACAGCACACTAACAGTGCAATTAAAGGCTGCTAACCTCTGACAAACTGGCTTGTCTGGTAAATTCCTGTTGCCCCTCACCAGCACAGTGAATCTTCATTCTGAGTTCTGTGGCACTCATGACCATATTTTACTGTCTGAAGCCTCAGAGCCATCAGACAATTGTCCAGAAGGCTCTTGTTATATAACCTTGACACAGACTATAAGAAACAATGCATCCTCCACTGTTGCATCAGTATCTCTTTCCACAGAAATGTGTTTACAGTGTGAATGCCTAGCAATGGCCACATCTATCTATTCCACTGTCCTGGCTTTTGGTCATCATGTCACAATATGTTAAAAGCTAATCTTATACCAACTAGGTTTGCATTTTTTGAATGGACATGCCAGCACAGATGGGGGAAATACGTTTTGGTAGGAAAACCCCTTTGAAAGTGACAACTTGAAAAATAAAAATTAAAATGAATCTACAGACTTCATGTTGAGCTCAGGGTGTCTAGCCACCCTATGTAATTTACACATAAAAACTTTAGTGTCGAGATGTAACATGTAACAAACACCAAGTAGTCCAACTCAACACATTTCAAGGCTTGTCTTGAACATTTCTGCATCTACAAACCACAACAACACAAGCCCAGGGGGGGGGAAGAGAGAGAGAGGACACTCTTGGAACTTTCCCTCTACAAAACCTAAATTTTTCAGTCGATTTATAACACAACATTTCTATCACAGAATACTAGCAAATCAATTCCAGTTTACATTTAACAAATCAGAAACTAACTTTCTTTAATTAAATGGTTGCAATTACAAGTAATTATGGGCATTTTCTTCCATGAATTTTGGACTAGTATAATAAATTATTATTGCAATAATAATAGTAATAATATGCAAATTAAAACATTTCTACTTTTGTTATTCTATGCTCAGGACCAACTGAAGTGGATACTTAAGTACTGTTTCAAAACACTGCAAGTCAACTGCCACAATTTTATTCACAAAACATATTACATTCAGATTCACTGTATTTGAAGTTTGAATTAAGAGCAAAAAGAGTAAACAACAGGTACAATTGGCAATTGTCAAAATCCTCTATAACTGTATTTATGATACTTAATCTGAGCAAGTGGGATTTGTGATGGACAAAATGGCGCTGGGGCAGGTTTCCTCCGAGTACTTCGGTTTCCCCTGCCAATGTTCATTCCATCAAATTCTCCACAAATAAGAATGTAAAAAATTGTAACTATTGTAATTTTAATCTACTTATATATCAAATTGTTAATATTCAGAATTAACTTGACTTGTCATATATCATGTACAATGATCTACAGTGACGAAATAATCAATCAATCTAAACTTTTGCATTTTTGATAAATTAGTGAAAACACTCACAAGAAATACATTTTATGTATCAGAGTAGCAGTAATTCACTGTGATTAAACCAACATTAAGGGTATCATAATTACACAGCTATGACATTGGCCTTATATATATTCTGTTCTCATATTTGATAATAACATGAGTAAAGACTGCAGTAATAAATATTCACATTTGAATCAGAGGATTCTGGTGATAACATTAATTTATTGTTCAAAACAGTGAATGCTGTAACATTAAAGAAGATAATTCATATAGTACTAACATTTCCTTCACTGCATTATCCTATTATATGAACAATATGCAACTGCATTCATGTAGTTTTACTGTTATAAATATGCTGACCACATTATTTTCTACCAATATAGAGTGAAAAATTTCACTTCAGATGAGACATTCAGTACTTCCTTATCCAAAATTAATGCAATTCACTGTAGAACAAAGATTCTTAAACTATTCTAAACCTCTTTTATATTGTTTATAAATTACAACAGAGAATGAACACATTTTCATTTCTTTCACCACACACATTCTTATTCCATTTTATAATTCGCTCGGGTATTTGTAGATACAGAAACCATCATTTAGAACAATGATGCCATCCGTGGTCCAAATGAAAAATTCTCTGTTCACTGCGGACTCAAGGCAACTTGTCACACAGTTGCAGTTTGATGATCATTCACTGGACTGATATTTAAGCAGAATACAAAGTTAACCTGAAAGTTAAAATCATTAAATATATTTTTCTAATATACAAACAATTATTTTTCAATGTAAATACTGCATATAATACATATTCTAAGATTTACAGTTTGAAACAGATTGCAAATTGGCTGTGTAAAAAGACAGGAGAAATTACTTATCAGAAAAGCCACAGACGTCTTTTAAACAGTGTTTGTGGATACCCACACTGGAACTTGTACTCTATCCATTCATACCTAAATTAATTTGTGCATAACCTTAACATTTAGTTTCCTTCAAAAACACAGCAAAAGGAAAATTCTTAGGCATATGTGTTAATGGAAATATGAAATCTCATGCAAATGCAAAGCCCCTAAGGACGAAACTCAGTAAATTTAATTATGTGATACAATATCTTATGGCTCTCATGCTACAAGGCATTATTTTGCACATTATCATACTCATTTGAGGTACAGTTTAATTTTATGGGGCGATGGCATAAGAGTGAAAATATTTTTAAGATAGAGAAATGGGTTGTGTAAATAAGCAGTCATTCTGGGAGGTATACATCATGTCAGCAATTTTTGAGGTTCTAAATACACGTTGAGCAGCTTGCATGCACATAATGGAAGCATTATGTCATATAAAATGAAATATGGAGAACTTGGAGGAAAACACTGAAATCTGTAATCACAATGCACATCAAGAGTTAAACCTCCATGTTCAATTTTGCATGAAAAATATTCTAAAAAAAGTCTAATGAATATTGGAATTAATTTACTTGATAAATTACCAAATAAAATTAGGAAATTGGAAAAATGTGGGAATTTAAAAGGGAAGTGAGATCATACATCTTATTCTGTATATTAATAAACAAAGATTACTCTTTATGTAAGTTGGGTCCATGAATAATACCTGCATAGTCAATTTACGTATCATATTTATGTCACATAAATTAGCAGATTGTAATTTTTAAGACGAGTATATGAACTGCATTTGTATTATGTTGCGGTACTGTGACTTAAACTGAGTAGAATTCTTGGATCTTTCATTTTTTGGTCATGTACCATAATAACATATCCTATGTGAAAAGTCTGATTAAGATGGATGAAAAAAATTAAACTAAACGAAACCCAATTTTCCCACAGAAACAAATAAGCAGGGCAATTTTGTTAAATGTAGCAACTTTAACAAGTTTTCATTTCGTGCATCATGTTGTTATATATACAATTCTTTATTGGAGTCCGTCGTAACACAACAACATAACAGTCAAGGTTAAAATTACTTTAGCTACGTTTCGGCTTTTTAAAGCCATCATCAGGCAAAACACATGATTACTATATTCACAGTACTGAACTGCAATTTCATTGTGATAGTAAAGCTGGATACTTGATAACTCATACATTATAAAATACATGGTATAAAAAATACAACAAATTATAAAACAAAAGTTATTAAGTAAAATATGGTAAAAAAACTGTTCATGTGATACTGCATATCATGAAGTCATCTATACCACGGGCCGCCAAGCAGTTTACCATATGTATACAAGTCTACAATATACCATCATGTCCGCAGGAATATAACAAGATTGCAACAACTGACTTCATCATATGCAATATCACATGAATAGTTTTAACCATATTTTACTCCATAACTTTTGTTTTATAATAAGTTTATAATTCATAGTATTTTTATACCATGTATTTTATAATGTAAAAATTATCAAGTATCCACCTTTCCTATCACAATGAAATTGCAGTTCAATAGTGTGTGTGAATATAGTAATCATGTGTTTTGCCTGATGATGGCTTTAAAAAGCCAAAACATGCAGCTCAGATAATTTTAACCTTGACTGTTATGTTGTTGTGTTACAATGGACTCCAATAAGAATTGAACATTAAGAAGAATCAATGTAATTCTAAAACAGAAGGCACAAGTAATTATGAACACTTCAGAACTGCAAATGCTCTTACAGTCTTTCCCAAAAGTAAAACATTATCACACAGACCTTTGTTTATAAAAATACATCTATGACTATTTATACAGACTTTCAATTTTTCACCATTCAAACGCTGGGTCACATTGAAGACATTTCACAAGTGGATATCAGCGGTCAACTTCATGATTATATCTGTCCTGAGAGGACTAGCTTGTCACAAAGCAGAAAAATATTATTCCAAAAAGATATTTGCTATATTTGCTATAGCGAAGCATCATGAAGCACGATCAAACCAAGCTACATTAAATTCAACAGATAATGCTATTTTTCTGCAATGTAAAGGAACAACATTTAGAAGAAAAATGAGGTTATGACAATTTCAAGCAAAAATAAATTTTATTCTTACAATTTGGTCTGAAAATGTGCATTGCTATGATCGTTACTTCATTCCAGCTTAGACCCTTCAGGACATGGATGTTTTGAACACTTTTCTTCAGATGAATTTGGTTCCAGCTTACGTTTCTTGCGCACCAGGTGTGATATGTCAGACACTGGCTTGGAATCAGATTCTGGCTGTAATGAGACTATGAATGCTCCTGAAGATCCTGAACTTGCCCCTTGCTCACTTTCAGAGCTTGCTGCAATCTCTTTTTTAGCATCAAGCCCTGCCATCAGAGCAGTCTTTGTTTTCTCTTTTAAGTCTTTTGTATCATTTATCTTCTCTTTTACTTCTGGTAACAGTGCAGTGATTTCTGTAATTTCACCTTCAATCGTATAGAATGGATTTTCATTTTCTTCTGAATTTGCAGAACTCTGTTTCCCTTTTTCCTGAAGATATTCAATTCTCTTTTCTAGTAACATGTGAGCTAGAGTCAACTGACCAATGGCCTCATCAAAATCACTAACTAATGAGTAAGCCATGCCAAGCTGATAATGTGTCTCTGCTATGCTCCTGTCATGCTTGTCCAAGTTTTGTGTTCGAATTTCTAAGCAAATTTTCATATCTTCTATTGCCTGTACATAGGTCTCAGATTCTAAACCAACTTCCCCCAGTTTTAGATGCACCTCTGCTAGTTTTAAATTAATTTGCTTATTTCCTTCAGCCTGCCTTCTAAATATGACTTTTGCCAATTCTAGCATTTCCCAAGCCAAGCGCAAATTACTTATATCATCTTCATCTTCCACATTTTCTGTTGAATTATCTTTTCCTTCACCTTTGCTGTCCTTTGTACCATTTCTTTCATTTATATTTTTGGGCTCGGCTTCTGTGGCATTCTTTTCTTTTTCATTTGACCCATGTTCATTGCCTTTTCCATTTTCTACGTGATTTATCTCACCGTCTGCTGTGTTTTCTTCTTCCTTCTCATCTTCACCCTCATCGTCCCCATCGCTATCCTGGCTCTCTTCACCTTCACCTTCAATTCCCAAAACATCACTTTCAGTTCTGGCAAGTTCTAATAATGCTATACCATAATTAAAATAGGCTTCTCCGCATTCGTTTGCAAGTTCACCATATAACTGTGACAAAAGTTGACAAGCTGACGCAAAGGATGCCACGGCCTCGCTGTAATCCTTAACCAACAAGTGCCTTTTTCCTTGAGCTAAATGGGTAAATGCTTCTTCCTTTTTAGTTGCCTCCTGCCCTGCGTTCCCACTTTTCGTCTCTACCTCCATGATTACCGATGATTACGTACAAGAGCCTGCCTAACAGACACTAACACTACTTCGCGCCAACTTGTTTACTATTAGTGGTTAGGGTGGTTAATGAGCGTTTGACGAGTAATTGTTAGATTTGAATGTGGTTACCGGTGGTTACTGCGGTTTACAGACGTTCGAGGTAAACACCCTACTAATGCTACCAACAGCACAAAGTAACATGCAGACATTAGTATACGTGTTTTAGGTAAATTGGTTTGTGTAATAAATTAATAAATCACAGAATATGATGGTACAGGCACATTTTGTTTTAAGAATGAACGAAGAGACGAAGAGACAATCTTAAAGAAAGTTTCGAACTTAAAAAGAAGTAATAAGGGCTGCGTCATAGCTCAAGCGGTTAGTCGCTGGCGTCGCTGACTTCCAATCCCATTGCATCTGCGAGTGCAAAAATGCAGTTCAAATATATTACTGTCCTCGGCAGTTGCGATCTGTAAGAAGAATATAACTATGTAGTTTTGTGCGCTCATGAAAATAAACGGGAAGTTTTAGGAATTTTTTATTCATATGAAGGTGGTTATGACATATGCGATTTAATACCGTGTATTCCGCTGAAGGTAAACCGACGTTTTGGAGAAACGTGCAAGGATCGAAGAATTTGTCAAGAAGGTCAAGAACGTCAAGAATGACATCAGAGTGAAACAGGTAGTATACTATATGCCATATGCCAGAAGACAGAACTTTATAATCACCTTTGTTTGAATTTCAAATCGTACAATATCTCCTCTCTTTTCATGAGTGCACATAACTAATCCCCAGATTTTTTATATTGTAGCAGAAATATTGTAAATACAAAAAAGTGCTAGGCAATGCCCATCCGGCCTTCTGTAGCACATTCTTATAAATATCTTATTCTGTAAAAGTGGTAACCCCGCGATTCTTAATATAGATCTGAACTTAAATCTGAGAGTATACTGTTAATAATCAGTACAATTATTTCTTTTACTTTTCTTACGTGCCAATTTTATATAAATATAGGAATGCTGTTTATGAAGTAACAAATGCCTTGCAGAAAATCTGTCTTCTTTCTTAAGAGCTCATTTCATTTACATTTATTTTTCACTTCATTGGGCCAATCATCTCCCTGTAGGGCTGGATATAAAACATGTCACATATTACAAATTCATGATGACTACACATCATTCGTCCTTGGTCCAATAAAATATAAATAAAATCAGGCCTCACACACATAGCTCAGATTGTCAGGACGATGCGCATAGGTCGTGGAGAAACCACTGTCAAATTCATACCTTGCCATTCCACACACACTGACAAGCCATATCATCCAAACAATTACATTATAAAATATTAAAATTCATGACAAAAACAGACATCATACATACTGCTACACTTACAACAAGCAAGTCTCAACAATGTATAATTCACGCACACAGACCATTTATTAACTCTTAACTTTTGAGCCCCTTGCATGCTCGACAAATTCATCAGTACAGTAAAATGCATTACTTTGCAAATAATTTCGTAAAACAAACCTAAATTGCTTTTTATAATTTTTTAAAACTGTGATATTTGACGGCAGAGTGTTAAATATTTCTTTTTTTATTGCTATTCAATTCAATTCAATTTTACTTCATCCATGAATCATTATACATGATATGGGACAAGTCAAAGATTAATATTAATACTAATACTAAATAGTAATAAGAATATAATAATACAGTTGTGCTAGTTTGGTGGGACTAAGTCCCTTGTACTGCGGCCACTTCTGACACGTTAAATAGCTTGACGCTTGAATAATACACCCCTCTCTGATAGGATGATAGATGTGTTGAAGGTATATGAAGGCGGTCATTCCTTCTCGTACTATACGGTGTTATTGGTTTGAAACTTATCCAAATTATTAACAACAAAGGTCATCAATGAGGGCAAATATACACATGGGTTTGGTAATATGTCAAGCTTTTTAAATAAATATCTACATGTATGAGTTGGGTGCACTCCCATCATTATTCTTATTATTTTCTTTTGTAAAACAAAGACCTTATGACTGATATATTTCCCAAATATATTATTCCATATTTCACCAATGCATGATAATGTGCATAATATACAACTTTAAGACTGTTTATATTTAATATATAGGATAATTTTCGAATTAGAAAACCAACTGTGCTTAACTTATGAAACAAAAAATCGATATGTCACTTACAAGTCAGATGATTGTCCAGCTACAGACCGAGAAATTTTATCATTTCTCCTTTTTTCAGCTTTTTCTTAGAAAACAATATATATAGATGGTAGCTCATAGCTGCTGTTGGGGTCAATTTTATCATTTTTGTTTTATCCAGATTTAACACAAATTGATTATTTTGAAACCATGTAAACATGTGATTAAAAACAACATTCAATTTTATTTTTAAATTATAGTAGTCTTTAGATGTGCCAAGAATACTTGTGTCATCTGCAAACATAATAACTGACTTTGGGTATTCTTTTTTGCTGTTCTCAGACTAAATGTCCATTATTTGCAGATGCCTTCAATCATTCTTTTCTAACAATTATAGAAAATCTAAACTTGCATCAGGAAGTGGGAGATAATGTCATTTCATTTTTAAGAGAGGCATTTCCTAGAAAATTCCCTGGTATTAAAACCATTCCAACCACTGTAACTGAAATGAAAAGTATACATTCCTTCAAAACAAAAACTCTTCAGGTTATGATGGAATAACAAGTAAAATTTAAAAGTTTGTGCAACTCTAATCAGTAGCCCATTAACTCACATCTGTAATCACTCACTATCCACAGGAATCTTTCCTGATTATCTTAAGGTTTCAGTAGTAAGACCACTAAATAAAAAAGGGAACAAGACTAGTATGTCAAACAACAGGCCAATTTCACTGTTAACTACTTTCTCTAAAGTACTTGAAAAAGTTATGGACAGTAGGTTAAGCCATTATTTTCAAAGTAACAATATACTAGTCCCAGAACTGTTTGGCTTTAGGAAAGGAATTTCCATTGAAAATGCAGCCTTTAAGTTAATAGACAATGTGTTGAAATCTATTAATAAAAAATGCATGTTGGTGGAATGTTCTGTGACTTGGCAAAGGCTTTTGACTGTGTAAATCATGAAATTTTATTAACCAAATTACATTTTTTTGGCATTCAAGGAACAACGTTACTTTGGTTCAGATCCTACCTAACAGATAGAAAACAAAAGATTGAAATAAAATCGTCAAATTCAATCCAAAATACCTACTCAAACTGGGGAATAATAAAACATGGAGTTCCACAGGGGTCAGTTTTGGGGCCTTTGCTCTTCATAATTTATATAAACGACCTCCCTCCTACACTAAGGACCTCATCAGTACCTGTAATATTTGCAGATGACACTAGTGTTATAATTTCTGGTAAAAATTTAGATGATTTCTGCATGTTATCAAGCAAGGTTCTTTCGCAAATGAGTAAATGGTTTTCTGGAAACCTAGAAAAAGCAAATGTAATAAAATTTATAACAAAAAACTCACCACAATATCCATTAAACATAGGATATAATGATAAATATATATAGAAGAGGGAGTAAACATGAAATTCCTTGGCTTGCAAATTGATAATCATTTAAACTGGAAAAACCAGTTGATCCTAAGCTAAGTAGAGCATGTTATGCAGTTAGATTCATGTTACATATTAGTAACATTGACATGCTCAAATCAATCTATTTTGCTTACTTTCACTCTTTAATGAAGTATGGGATAATTTTCTGGGGTAAATCATTTGACAGTAAAAAAGTATTTACATTGCAAAAGAAAATTGTTAGAATCATGATGGGTGTCAAATTCCATAATTCCTGTACAGATCTTAACTTTTCCTTGTGAATATATGAAACTTCATTACAAATAACAAAGAACATTTTCAGACAAGTGTGGATGTACACAGTGTTAACACAAGACACAAACACTGTCTGCATAAACCAATTGCTGACCTCTCATGCTTTCAGATCAAAATTTTTAATAACCTACCATCTTCTCTCAAAGGTCTTATGAATGAAAAGGCACAATTTAAAATAGCACTGAAATGATATATAAATACTCATTCATTCTAATCTGTTGATGAATACCTATTGTCTAGAAAATAACTTATGTATCTTTAAATAGCCTTGTGTGTAGTCACTGTGTATTCTTGGTTTCTCTTATGTGAGAACCCCATTGGGACTGTACATATGTTTTGTATTTATATGACATATTACACATCCTACAGTCATTTTGACTAACTTTGGATCCATGGAATGCAATGCAATGTAATGTAATGTAATGTTGTCCTTTGGTCCTTGTACAGTGTACAGTTCCAGAAGATATGTTCCTCTGTTTGCAGCCCTTCACCACATTCGCATTCAGCTGTGGACACAATGTTAAATCTGTTTAGGCTTGCTTTAAGGCTGTTGTGTCCTGCTGTCATACGGTTTACTGACACGAAGGCACGGCGGTTCATTTTTATCTCTAGGAACCATGGAGACAAGCCATTCCTGTAGTACCTTTCCAAGTAACTTTCTCCTCTGTCCTGTTTGGAGTTTTGACAGAAACTGTAAAGTTCTTTTTTACCTTTCTTTTTCCAGTGCCTTTTAAGATCTGCAACTGGTAATCATAATTGACTACCTGTGCCTTCTTTGATTGCTTGCTTTGCCTCCAAGTCGGCCCTCTCATTAAATTCCACTCCCCAGTGCCCCGGGATCCAGTAAAATTGGATTTTTTTTCCCCCTCGAAATTCCAGTCTCTCTATTTTATCTTTAAGTATTTGTATAATGTGCGATGTGTTGCTTAATGTAGAGGAGTTAGTAATTCCTTTTAACATGCTTGCTGAGTTTGGTGATCTTCTGCTTCCTTTATTTGTTCTCCCTCATCGAAAGATACCCTGGCCTCATAGAAGAGGTTTCCATATGTGTAGTTGAAGGCCGGGTGACAGTTCCCTGATTGGATTAAATAACCGAGAGGGGTTACCTCTTTGTAATATTCACTGATGAGTGGTTGTTCATTTTCTCCTCTCCCTGGATTGTCAACTAGAGCTGATAATTCTTCCAGCAGGTAGATCATTGGATGATTGCTTGATGTATAACACCTGGACACATAGTTCCTTCCCAACTGCTGAATCTACTAAAAATTGGGATTTCTTTGGCT